CAAGGGATATGGGGTAGAAAATGCCCAGGCTTTCAAAAAGCTTACCCACTTGATAACAAAAGGAAAATATACAGTTTTTCATTTTTTTTCTAAAGTTAAATGATACAGTTCACTCACAGAAGGTCCCATAAACCAAGGAAAAGTCCAGGAGAAAAGACAGCATATCTTAGAAAATATCAGGAGGGGTGTGGGATCTGAGCTCAGAATGAGGAGGCTCAGTGTATTTTCTTATATGTCTGGTTCCGCCTGGGGCCCGTCTTTTAGACACTCTGCCCACTCCCGTGTTTGTTTCAAAGCCTCTCCACCTTTTTGAACCTTGGTCTTACTCAAAAGAGTAAGCCACTTTATGTTTGCAGCTTTGGGGGTTAGGGGAATCTGAAGGAGAGTGTGGTATTCAAAGTATAGACCTGGAATCAGATAAATGTGGGTTTAATACCTGACTGCCATCATGTATGTGTATGATTTGGGGCAACTTGCTTAACTTCCTCTTGTGTAAACCAGATTCAAAATTAGTACCTATCTTATAGTTATGATAAGAATTAAATAGATGAAAGTTCTGAGCATAGGTCTTGGACCACAATATTTATGTAATAGAGGACTTTGTGTTCATAAGGATCTGGATAATGATGGTGGGGTTGGCAATGATGAAGATGATAGCAGTGGTGGTGGTAGTGTGACAGCAGTAGTTCTGGTGTTATTGATGACAGTGGTGGTGCTGGTGCTGGTGAAGGTGATGGTGATAATGCTAGTGGTGGTATTGATGGTGTTGGTGATGGTGGTGAGGGTGGAGATGATGATATTATGGTTGGTGGTGCTGATGGTGGAGGTGGTAGTGAGGGTGGTGATGATGATAGGGTTGGTGGTGGTGGTGATAGTGGTGGTGGTGAGGATGGAGGTGATGATAGTGGGGTTGATGATTACGGTGGTGGTAGTGAGGGTGGAGGTGATGATGATAGGGTTGTTGGTGATGGTGGTGGTGGTGAGGGTGGAGGTGATGATGTTGGGGTTGGTGTTGTTAATGGTGGGGGTGGTAGTGAGGGTGGAGGTGATGATGATAGGGTTGGTAGTGATGGTAGTGGTGGTGAGGGTAGAGGTGATGATGGTAGGGTTGATGGTGGTGATGAGGGTAGTGGTAGTGAGGGTGGAAGTGATGATAGTGGAGTTGGTGGTGATGGTGATGAGGGTAGAGATGATGATGGTAGGGTTGATGGTGGTGATGATGGTGGTGGTGGTGGTGGTGGAGGTGATGATAATGCTGGTGTTGTTGACAGTGATGATGGTGGTGGTGGCATTGATGCTGGTGGTCATTGCAGCTCGGAAGACAGTATATTCTTCCTATGCACCAAGGCAGGAAATGAAAGCTGCCTTACAAAACCTGGTCTGAAAGGACTCTGATGGGACTAGCGGTCTCACTGGCATCAAGGGGAGCAAAGCTGACATTTGAGGGGCCCCACTGGGATCTCACAACTTGTGATGTAAACAGCCCAGCCTTTCCTTCATCTCCTGCTGCTTGTCCCCTTTCCCAGCTCTCCTCGCATACAGAGGGGCCCTGTAGTGAGACAGGTGGGGCATGCAGCTCTGAGGAATAGTGGAAACTCCGAACACCTTGGAAAGATAAATAGGCTCATGCAGATGGTATAAAAGTCCTTTTTCTGAACTCACGTCAGGTAAACCTCAACTGACAGAAACATGTACAGCCACACCAAGACACTCCTACGGATGGATTAAATTAGCTCCCAAATAAGCAAGGGAAGGGATGGGCATCAAATCTCTAGTGAATCCTAACCCTGCTGTTTCTACTACTTCAACCATTACCGAGTGCCCCTCGAACATCCTGTATTTTGGCTGGGAACAGACTCTCCAGCCCAGAAATGAAAGTCTGGTTAAAGTTTCTCAGAGAATGAAAGCAGGTGATCCTCTCTACTTCTAGCCCCATGGCTGGGAATCGGGGGGCACGAAAGTAGCTGAGCTGGAAGGGAGGAACATGGGGGGCACTCACATTCCTTCACTTGGTCAACACGTATGTGTTTGCTGTGCTCCATGCCTTGTCCTGGGGAGAGACATAGAGAGGTCTCAAACCCAGGCTCTGCCCTTAAGAACCTTAAGTAATCAGTCCTAGGTTAACCATTTCCATATTATTTATCTCAGTGTGTCATCACAACAAGCCTCTGACACTTTCAGTGCCCATTTAACAGATGGGAGAACCAAGTCTCCAAGAGGAAATTTACAGAGCAATTTTAAGTCAGAATTGCAACCACACCTGTCATACCTCAGCACCCAAGGTCCTTCCCATATATTGCTTTGCGTATATCTATTGGGAGAAGGCAGACTTGTCAATAGAGGCAGTAGGGAGCCAGATAGATTTCACATTTCAAGACTGCTGGCAGATTTTCAAAGTAGGCTGTTTGTCCAAGATCTTTAATTCATTCTACACTAAACTGGTTCTCTAAACTCGACACTGTGGTAGGCATAGTAAATGTCCTGATGCTCTAGGTCAGTGGTAGGCAAACTCATTAGTCAACAGAGCCAAATATCAACAGTACTACGATTGAAATTTCTTTTGAGAGCCAAATTTTTTAAACTTAAACTATATAGGTAGGTACATTGTTAGTAATTTAATTAGGGTACTCCTAAGGCTTAGGAAGAGCCATACTCAAGGAGCCAAAGAGCCGCATGTGGCTCGCGAGCCGGAGTTTGCCTACCACGGCTCTAGGTCTAGGACAGTGGTCGGCAAACTGCAGCTCGGCAAACCGCAGCTTGCAAGCCAAATGCGGCTCTTTGGCCCCTTGAGTGTGGCTCTTCCACAAAATACTGGCTCTTCCACAAAATACCGACTTCTGCGCATGGGCCACAAAGTTTCAATCGCACTGTACGTGTGCGCCCGCATGTGGTATTTTGTGGAAGAGCCGCACTCAAGGGGCCAAAGAGCCGCATGTGGCTCGCAAGCTGCGGTTTGCCGACCACGGGTCTAGGAGAAGGGGGAAGACGAGAAAATACAGTCCATCGACAAAATCATCTCTATCATGAGATGGATCCGTTCATTCATTTATAACATAAATACTTCCTAGGCTTCCTCCATGTGCCAGGCACCATCCTAGGCCTGGGAGATCCAAGGTGAACCAGAGATGCAGTGTGTGGTAGAGGAGAAAGGCGCCCATCCCAGTCTCAGCCAGATCTCGGAGTCATGTGACCTCAGTTCCAAGCTCACCAAGAAACCTAACTACTATTTGGGTTCCAGATAGGTCTGCCCTCAGGGATAGAATGAGCCAGTCACATGGGTTTTCCACATTCTGACCATGTGACTCTTTTTTAAAATATATTTTTATTGATTTCAGAGGGAGAGGGAGAGAGAAATATCAATAAGAATCATTGATCAGTTGCCTGCTGCACACCCCCTACTGGGGATTAAGTCCACAACCTCAGCATGTGCCCTGACCTGGAATTCAACCATGAATAGGTCAACCCTCAACCACTGATCCCCACTGACTGGGCTATTTCTTAATTAAAATTTATCAACTGGCTGTCAGCCAGGAGAGCAAACCCCAATCATACAGACTTCCGTGGCTGGCTCCTGAAACAGTTACTTCTCACTACAAATCTAAGCATTTGCCTCCAGGTCATTTTTATCTCATTTTTTACTTTTTAAAAGAAATCATTGTTAATCTGGAATGGAAAACAGTCATTTATTGTAGACTAGAGAAGGGAGCTTCTAGGATGGTTACATTAGCCCCATTCCTGATGCTATTTTATTTCCCTAGTTTTATCTTTCTTTTTTCACCTACTTTAAAAATTATCCTCATGCTGGATGTTATGCTATGAGCTGACTTAAATTATTTCCAAAGCGACCGCTAGGTTTCAAATCCTGGTTTCTCCACGTCACCACTATGGAGCCTAGGGGAATTATTGTCCTTATGACCTGAGAGTAATGCCCACCTCACTGCCTGCAAGAAAGAAATAAGATCATACAGAAAGCAGTTAGTACCGTGCATGCACTCCATGCATTTTAGTTGTCATTATCAGAACAGCAATTGTTATTAAAGGAGGCTATAAATAAATACACATATGCATACCTGTCAGCTCCGCCTGAGGGTGGGGGAGGGGAGAGCAGCACAGAGGCAGGGAGTCTGTAGCAGAAAGTTCAGAGATAACAAAAGATTCTCCAGGTGAAAAGATGAGGACAAGCTGTTTGGGGAAGGAGAGCAGCAGGAACAAAGTCGCAGAGATAGGGAAGGAAAGTGTGGGCCACCTCAGGGAAGTGTGAGCAGACCCATATGGCAGGGCAGCCGATGGAAGCCCGAGGGGTTCTGTCTACACGGGTTCCGAATCCAAGGTTAGTTCGTTCATCCTCCGGCTCTCACACAGCATTGTGGACCAGAATCACCGGGAGGCTGGTTTTTAAAATGGACAGTCCCAAGCCCTGAACCTCAGAGGTTTGGATTTATTAGATGCAAGGCGGCCCCAAAGTATGTGCCTTTTTTAAGAGTTCCCACAGTGGCCCTGGGCAGTGGTCCTCAGTGTCCGCATTCTCCCTGCTCCACACCATTCCCCACATGCACACATATAGTTACATGCACACATACAGACATGCACGCACTTGTACACACACAACACTCTCTTTCTCTCTCTCCCTCCCTCCCTCTTCTTTCTCTACTCTTCCTCCTTCCTCCCACCTTACCCCCAACTCTGTCCATGGGTCAAAGATGAGCCACAAATTTTCTGAAAGGCCTTTCCGATCTTGTCTCCATCCCTCAGTTCTGCTTCTTGTCAGCCCTATTCCTGCCAGGGAGATACAGGCTCAGGACACCTACAGCGAACACAAGACTTACTTTAATCTTATGGCTCCTGCTATTGCGAGTACCTGGGCAGTTTCTCCATGTAATTCCTAAGGGGAGGTCAGAACTTGGAAGATCCAGAAAGAGGTGGGGTGGTGGAATGTGGTGCCAGCAAAGACATGCTCCCTCCCGGAACCAAACGCATCTGACCCGTCTCTGTCTCTACAGAGAGTCGTCTGCACGGCTGGCCTCAAGTGGTACCCTCACCCTGCTGTGATCCACTGTGTCAAAGGCTGTGAGGTGAGTCCCCGGAAATGACCCTACTGTTACTAATGTTATCGTTGCGTTAATCATGGCTACCATTTACTGTACCTGCTAAATGTTGTAAATATCCCTTTAACTGGCCTCCTGGCCAGAAATCAGCAATCCTATTCTACAGCTGGTGGAATTGAGGCACAGAGATGCCAACAAACATACTCAAAAATATGTTTACTGGGTAACAGAACCAGGATTCCGAGCTGGGTTATTCTGCCTCCTAACCCTGCATTCAGCATAATAGTGCGTTTCTGAGTGAGGGTGGCAGGGAGGCCGTATTGATTTGGCATCTGTAATATGCTGGGGTTTTACCAGCATGTTCACATTTAACCTTCACAGAACCATGTGAGGCAGGTGTTTTCCATTCCTACTTTATGGTGAGCATCTTATAGGTCATGTCCTTCTGCCATATGCGTGTCACTCACTTGCTCTTCAACCCCTTAGACCCAGCCACTGAGCTGAAATATGGTTAATGGATAACAGAACCAGGATGCTCTCTGACCCTTTAATTCGGAGTCACAGCCATGCCCTGGGACTTGGCACCACGGAGCTCTGTGTCTGTGTATCAGGGACAAGCTTGGGGAGGGCAGAGTACTGGGGATGTCACCTGTGTTCTCAAGAGGGGCTTTTCGTAAAACTAGAAGACGCGTCTGTGTGCCCCATGCCCTGTGGTTCTGCTCAGCTGGTGGTGAAGAGACCCCGAATCCCATCCAGGTGGATGTCCAAATCTCCGTGGTCCCCCAGAGCCCACTCAGGAAAAGGCAGCTGGAAAGGACTGGACTGTGCTCTAGAAAACGTTGTATTCAATGAAATTCTTAGAATGTCAGAACCAGAAATGCTCTTCTAGGTGACCTAAACCTGACCTTTTAATCTAAAGATGGGGAACGGAGACCTAGACGGTGGGTGGTTGGGCTAAATTGTGATAGAATGCCCCAACTGGAAGGGTGCTTAGTGTGTCTCATCCTGTTCTTTTGTTGTATAAACTGGACATTGTGGCCGGAGAGGGGATGGACTGGCCCAAGGTGGCACAGCATAACAGACACAGAGCCAGACATGAGCCCAGGGCTCCTGGCTTCCATTCGGGTGCTCTTTCTTTCTTTCCCAGTAGGTCACCTCCTACTCTTGAACCATCCCCTGCCCTGTGTCACAAGACAGTCCCTGGGTCACACATTTTTGTCTATGTATTGGCTAGGGACCTCCTGTGGCATCTTCTCCTGTGGCACTGGAGCCTTTAAGAACCCCATTCTCCCAAGAGTCAGCACGGGACAGCAACACCAAGGCCGCCACGGCCATGTGGTTGTTGCTTCTTCCCATCTCCCTGGATCAGTCCAGCATTTCGGGCAAAGGGAGCTTGGGTTACCTGGGCACGCGTCCTGCTGAGTCGGCGGTCTGGGCCACCAGTGTGACAGCAGAATTCGATCCCTCCTTTGACTCAGCACTGGGGCCTGCGAGACCCTCACCTGTCAGGCTCTGAGCCCTGCCAGTGATGCTTATCGCCCTTGCCCTTGCAGGTGCCCCTCGTCTCCTTTCTTCCTGAGCTTAGCGCCAATAGTTGGCCTCTTGTCTGGGGCAGAAAAGGATACTTAGAAGAGATACAAAGGCTGGGTCTAGGGAGGGGGCATCCACCTGGAGGGTGTAGAGGTAGCCAAGATCCAGAAAAGGTTTGAGACACTGTGCCCCGAGCCCTCTACCCCAAGCTGTGTCCAAAGTGGTCATTCGCTCGCTCAGTCATCACAGCCTCACTGAGTGCCTATTATGTGCCCAACATGACTCTTGGTTCTGAGAATAAAATGATCTCAGCCAAGTGAGAACAGTCACTGTGCTCCCTACTTCACCTGTGGAGTCTTTTTGCCCTCCATCTATCCATGCATCCATTCAGCCATGTGTGTGCCTCCATCGTCCATCATTTTACTAAATGAACACTCAAGGAACACATACAAAGTTTTGCTCAAATTTCCAGGCATTTTGCTGGGAAATAGGGGCAATACCACTGGATGACACATACTCCTGTCCATAAGGAACTCACAGAACAGTAAAGGAAGCAGACAGGAAACCGCAGGAGGGCAGAACGTCTTGGGGGTGTCAGGGAAGGCATTTTAGAGGGATCATGTTGGAGCTGGATCTTGAAGAATGAATTGCTTCCATTGTTGGAAGTAGCAGCATGAGAAATACTAGACAGGAGAAAGCTCCAAGTAGCAGATCTTTGCACATGCCCCTTTATCTGGAAATTCTCCCTTCTCCATCCCTATCTGATTAACTCCTACTCATCTCCCAATCTCAGCCAAAATGTCCTTTCCTTAGGGACACTTTCACGAAGCTCTCTGATTAGGCCAACTCCTTCGACTCTACTCAAAAGGTCTCATGGACCTTTCTCCCATAGCCCCTCTCCGTGTTGATATTGGCCAGTTAGAGAGTGGTTCTTTGGGCAGTTCACACTCAGTTTCCTAATATATTTGCATATATTTTATTATAAATTGTTTTTAAATTACCTCCTACCAGTAAAAGTGGGGCAAGGGGACTCAACTTGGCTTATCATTTCTTCAAGTAAAATGAGCCCCCTTCTTTAGGAAGATGTAAGACATACAGGAGTGTGTCTCCCAGGGAAACCATACTTTAATTGGGAAAAACTTGGCTACATAAGACTCTTTATACATGTAGAAGTGTTGACTTGTCCAAGGGGGTGTTGGGATCTGAAGCCAGGAAGCGGTTTGGGAGAAGATGAGAGACCGCTAAATGATTACAGACCTGTGCCTGCCACCCCCACCCTTGCTTTAGGATGCTAACAAGGCACCTTTCCTTCCTGCCTCTCTCTTCCTATAGCCCTTCATGGGAGACAATTACTGTGATGCCATCAACAATAGAGCCTTCTGCAACTACGATGGTGGGGACTGCTGCACGTCCACGGTGAAGACCAAAAAGGTAGGCAGTACCCTCCTCCCCAGCAGCCCAGCTTACTGGGCCAGGATGACCCCTACCTGTTGGACAACCCATTGTTCTGGTTGTGCCAGCGCTTGCCTACAAGCTGTATTGTATTGTATCATATCGTCTTGTGCTTTTTTATCCTTTTAGCCAGTAGTGGAGCTAATGTCAATGTGCTTGGACCCTGAGCGAGGTTTGGAGGCTCATGGATGATTTTTGCAGATGTGGTCCCTTACCCTGAAAGCTTTGACAAGTGAAAGTGTAATACATACTTTTAAAGGGAAGGACAGGGTGTTGTGGAGGCTCAGGCTAGAGGTGGAGAAGGCTCTGCAGGAGGCTCACATTCGATGCTGCATTTTGAGGGTTGAGGGGAAGGAGTGGGGGTGGTGACCAGGGAAATGGCGTCAGAGACAGAGACTGCCATGAAAAGTCCTGCAGAAAACATGCCCTTCTGGGGTGATGGCTGAGGTCGAGGGGAAGAGAGAAGACGGGACATTCCCAACAAGGTTCGTCATGGCCGTCGAGCATCATAACCTCTCTAGCTGTTCACACCTGTACAATGAGTCTTGGTTGTGATTCTCTTCCTTTGTGCATCAGGAGTGATTCAAGTGTTCATAGTAAAACTGAAACATTGGGCTGAAGTGCGTATCAATCACTCACAGAGGGTGGCCATGCCCACCTTCCTCCTGGCCAGCGCTGGGACCAGAGTTTGGGCCCCGCCAGGAGCTGGGAGAACGGTGGTCGACCTGGGCCACTGAGTTGAGAATTATTCTTGTGATCATTGAGACAATGGGAAACAATCTCTATTTTATACTTATCTACAATCTGAGCTGAAAAATCACCTGATCTCAGATGTCATTTGATCTACTCACTTTTTCTTCCTTTCCCACCCATGTTATACATTAATTTTGGCTTTTGGTGTGTTAAAAAGGCTCCCTTCTCCCACTTTAAACTGTCCTTCCTGTTAGCCAAGGCTCCGGAATGCAGGTGGCCAGGCTTCCTTCCTGCAGGGGGATGCAGTTTCATTGTGCACCTGGGAACCAGCATGGCCCGGGCCCTGCGCACGCCTCCCTTGCGAAGCTCACGGCCTGTGAAGGTCAGGAGACATGAGGCAGTGAGGAACACGACAGGCATTTAATCACCTGGTGGGAGAGGCAGTGAAGGAGAGGTATGGGATCTCACGGAGAACAGTGTGCCCGTCAGCATCTCCCTGAGGAGGTGATGTTTGTGTTGAGACCTGGACTGGGAGTGTCCGGGTGAGGGTGCACAGGTTGGGGCAGGCTGTGAGAACTGTGTGTGGCGTGTGGATTGGAGCCTAGAGGCCTCTCTTACTGTGCACATGGCTCAACCTTAGTGATCAGCTGTTAGGAAGAGATTGGGCCTTTCTTCAGATGCAAGATTCCTAGAGGTGTTTCTTCTAGAGAAGAAAGGGGTCCCGAATTAAAGTCATTCTTCCTCTCTCAGTTTGACTTCTACATAAACTCCAACTTCTTGAAAACTTTGTACTTTCTCTTGTAAACACCCATCTACTCCCTACAATAAACTGGCTTCTAGAAATGAGAGATGGAGAAAATATATAAGAAGATAAAATACCCCTAAGTGAGCTGCCAAATATGCCAGACACAGTCAGACACTTGTCCTCCGTCACCTTCTTTAACCCTCATTTCAGCCCGGCAGGGTGCTATTAGCTCTGTCGCACAGGTGAGCCAGTTTTGGCTCCGAGTACCTGCGGGACTCGCTTGAGTTCACTTGGCCATGAGCGCCGAGGCTCCCATTCCAACCCAGTTCTGTCTGACTCACAAGCCCAGCTTTCTCCCGCATGGGCTGAGTCTCCAAAGAGGAAAGCAGGTGGGGATAGGGCCATGTCCTCAGAGCACCCGGGCATGACCTTCTCCGTTCCAGTTGCAGACAGTTCACTGTCAACCCAGACTGCCAAGGAACCTTGGGTGTGGGACCCCTCCCCTTGGCAAGGTGGAAGCCGCTTTTCCCAGCAGCAAAGACCGGGTGGGGAGTAGCGGAGGCTCCCAGCCTTGCCAATCATCCCTGACGCCCCAGACAGGAGTTTCCCCGAGTGGAAAAACTTCCTGCTTTCTGTCTCCAGTTTCCACAGCAGGAAGCCTCTGAGAGCAGGAGAGGGGCCAGATTCCTTCCTCTCCTCCCCTCCCTACCCTTACCTGGTGGTCCCACCTGAACTCTTGGCCCTGGACACATATCAGGGGACATTCCCTGACTATGAGCACCCAGACTGGCACTCAGAAACTCGTGGAGTGGGCGGACTTGCTTCCTGCACCTTTCCAAGTACAGCAATGCCATTAATTGAGTACACGTATGTCTTGGCCATGGGTTGGAATCTCTGTGCATAATACCATCCTTAGACCCCAGGACCACTCAACCACATAGACAGCTGAGGCTCAGAGAGGCGGGATCATCTGTACGAGGTGACAGAACTTATTAGGATTTCGCCTTTCCTGACTACAAACAAATAATGTAGCTGCTATTTGTCGAAAGCTTGCTATTTGCCAAGCATGGCGCTAACTGCTTTCACATGTGTCAATTCATTTCGTCGGCACAGTAGCCCGTTGTAGGTGTTGCCTTTGTGTCCTCGTTTCACAGATAATGCAGCTCAGGCTTAGGAGGTTAGGCCATGCAGCCAGGAAGTGGTAGAGCTGAGATGCGACCCCAGTGACTCCTCACCACACAGCCCTGCCTCTGCACCCAGTCCGGACCTCTCACTGCTCTGGGCTTGCACTTGCCCTTCCCTGGTGGGTGGGCTTCTCGCTTCTCAGTCCTCCTGGACTGAGTCCAGGGTATGAACTTCGGGCTCAGGGTTCAGCGCTCAGCACCTTCTCCCAGACTTCCTTCTCGCCAACTCTCCACCTAACCCTCTCCCCAGTCCCCAGGGCTGGGGCCTCCCAGTCACTTGGCCCAGAAGGATGTCTGTCTGCTCCCTCCATCCTTCCTCCCTTGTTTGTCTCTGCAGACACCAGCTGTTTCCCACATCTGCCTTGTGTGACCTGGGCCCAGCTGACAGACAAGAGCAAGACAGTGCAGGAAACTCGGTCTGACAGGGGTGACCAGTTTCTCACCCAGACACCTGTCTGCAGCGCGAGGCAGACAGGAAGGGGCGGGACTCAGCTTCCCAGCGTGTCAGTGTATTATTTTCCTGGTGGAGCCTAAAGTCTCCAATACAGAGCAGATTTCCAGAGCGGTTGCTTCAGCAGTTTCCCCTCATAACAACAGCAACAAGTATTCCTTCATAATTGCAGTCATTCTAAGTAAGCACACGTGGAGCCGTAACAGAGGAGGGGGAATCACCTTAATGCATCGGCACACCCAGGCTGCCTAAGGTGTGGTGGCCTGGGACCACCATCCTGGTCATGTTTCAGGCAACTGCGAGACTGACTCTAGAAGATGCCTGGGAAGGGGGGTGCAGTCCCAGGCTGCACTTAGCTCTGTGCCCTTGGGCAGGCTGGTTCACCCCAGCTTTTTATTTCTTGATATTTGGATTAGATTCATGTCTCAGTATACTCTACATGGCCTCCTGCATGGTTGTTCCTTTGGCTGAGAACCTTCTTCTCCATTCCTCCTCATGACTCCCCCACACCTCCTGCAGGTCTTTTTGCCTGAGTTCTCAAGGAGCCCCGCCCTGGCCACCCACCTTTTACCACCCCTGGCACTCCCACACCCAATTGCCTTGGCTTCCACTCCTTTTTCCTTCCGTGACACTTAGCATGTTGGCACGTACTACAAAACGTATGCATTATTGATTATCTGGTAACCCCTGCCCTTCTTGCTGCTAGAATGAAAACTCCAGGAGGGCAAGAGCATGCATTTGATTTGATTCCTGATGAACCCCAGGTTCTGATGTTGTGTGATAACACTGGGCTAGGCCATGAGCAAGACGGACTGGGGCTCAGCCATGCTGAGCTCGCGTCCTGTGGACTTGTGGTGGGCACTGAGAGTATCGTCCCTGCTCATGGAGACACCGCAGGTGAGGGGAATCAGTAAGCTTCCAGAGAGGGCAACACCAGAGCAGACAGGAAAGGTGCAGGAGGTCTTCCCCAGGTCAGAAAAGTAGGGCGATGACCAGACACAAGGATGAGAGAGAAGGGGGCTTCTGGCCAAGGGCATGGTCTGTGCAAAAACCCAGACGTAGGAGAGAGCACGAAGGGAAGTATGGTTCCTTGCATGTGGTGGGAGCACAGGGCAAGCAGGGAATGGGCAAGACATGAGCCTAGAGGGATGGGCAAGACTGATATAGGCCAAGCAGGGAATTTGAGTTTTATCCAGAGAGCCATGGGGGTAGTCAATGATTTTAAACACTGAACCAGCCTAGAAGGTTCTAGAAGGCTTCCTGGAAGAGGTGACAGGTGTGCCTAGCTTGGAAGGTTTGTAAGGATAACAGGCATATGACTAAGCAGATTAGACTAATCCCCCCTGTCCAAAAATCACTAGCTTCTGGAACGCTATGATTTCTTCATCTGGGGTGTAGGTCTGACTTTTTCATGTGGATGAATTAGACATTCACTTTAGCTTTTCCATCCTGAAAAGTTAGTATCATCATAACCATTGTCAATACTATCATCACTACCATTATCACCACATCATCAACACTACCACCAATACCAAGATCACCATCGCCATCATCATCATCGAGCACATAGTGCATGCCCTGCACTATGCTAAATGCTTTACCTGAATTTTATACTTTATCCAAAATCCTGTGCGGCGGGACTGCTGTGACCTCCGTTTTACAGACAGAGACACTGAAGCCCCCAGAGGGGAAGTTGCTTGTTTGATGACATACACTTAGTCAGTAAGAGGGTGAGAAATCAAACCCATGTCTCCTTTGGGTCTAGGCTGGTGCTTTTCTCTGCTTTACCACACTTTTCCTCCATTTTATCCTCCACTTATTCACATCGAAACAACCCTCTGTATTCACGGACTGTTCCATGCCCTCCACCAGGCACGAATCCACGCTACTACCCCCAAGGAGCTTG